GGTGGTCAGCCTCCTCGGCCAGCATGGCCCGGCCCTGCAATAGTTGGGCCGCTCGGGAGATCTGCAAAGGCAAAACAGTCAAGTTAGCCCGGTCGAAGGCACTTGCACAAAAAATGGATGGCTAAAAAGGCTTACCTCGGCCAGATCATAGCCGATCCTCTCGGCTACCTGTGTGGGGGTCATCTTCCCCAGATCTTCTTTGGCCCGCCCGGCATTGCCAATCCGGGCCAAGATGGACGAAGCGTCCCTATCCCGCCCGACCGGAGGGCTCGGGCTGCGTTGCTCACGGCGGCGTTTCATGCCGCCCACCTCCTTCACGCCCTGCTCGGGCACCTTCTCTTTTCCCCGGGCAACTTCTACCCGGGCGACCAAGACATCGGACGGCTCGACGATAAAGCCCTCGCCCGTCGTCACGGTCGAGGCGCTTAGGGGTCGGGCCAAGGGGATCTCCTTTTCCCCGGCTGGCTTGGCTTTGGTCTTCTTCTTGCCGCCGAGGGAGATCTTGGCAGGCGGGGGAAGGGGGGCCTCTTCATCACCGAAGTCTGCCATAGCTGCAAAACAAAGAGATCGTTAGTGTGATCGAGGCATAAGGATAAGTCGGGAGGGCTAGCTCGAGTTAAACCTTTCTTCGTTCGCCTCGAGGGTTTGGCGACCGTCACGCCCATCGGCACGGGCAGATACTTCTCCTGTAGCTCGTATGTGGGGGGCGGGAGTTTAGCCGCCTCGAGACTTTCAGCCGTCCGGAAGATTGTGTACTCATGCAGCTCGCTCGAGATCCGACTGACCGTCTCCCTCAGCGCTTGCGTCTCGACCGGCACCACTTGTTTCCGAAAGTGGGTGCTCCAAGCACGGTCAACCGGGAGGATCCAGGGGTCGTATTTGAGGGAGAAGATCCTATTCTTCCACCCCCTATTGTTCCCGGGCAGGCCTTTGATTGCGCACATGTCAGCTCGGGACTGTAGCATCAAGAACCCGCCTCCATAGTTGCCCGGGAGGACTTTGACCTGGTAGATGAAGTTGAACAGCTCCATCGTGCAGGCGGCCTCATGCCGGGCGCATATCTGCGGGAAGCAGGCGATAATCCGGTGCGCATTGGGGCAGATCTGGGCCGGGACGACCCGGTAGTAGGCCAAGAAGGCGTTCAGGAGGGGGGTGAAGGGAATGGCGATCGGGGCCATTAGGGAGTCGTAATGCATCCCGATCCATTTGCCCCGATGCCGATCGATGACGTTCCCTAACTTTCGGCTCGTGTCGAATTCCACCCGACCTACGAGCCTTTCAGCAATCCTGGCTGCCTCGCCCGTGGTCAGTAGGCTCATTTGTTGTTCGACATTCTCGCTGTTCAAGAATTCGAACTCCGCTGCGGCTGGGGCGGCCGGCCCGGCCGTGTCTTCTTCGGCCAGCTCGGGAGCAGGACTCGGGTGGTCCCCAACCACCCCGGTGGGCGTTTCCCTAACGCCTTCGGTCGGAGATCCTTGTCTCCCCGATGTGGTTCCTTCTTCTTCTTCGTCGGAGCTCCCCGATCCGCTTGAGCTAGAGCTCGACGACCCGGATGAGCTGGACGACGTGTCTTGTGCGGCGGCCTGCTCGGGGGCTGGCGCCGGTCGGCTGATAGCTTCGGGGGAGTAGGACATGATGTCCACCTCCTCGTCGCTGAGGTGCTCGACCTCCTCGTCGTAATCCGCGATCGATGCGTTTTGACTGTCAGAGTCCGTCATATTCGATCTACCTAGAGGTCGGTCGGGGTTAGTGAAGGACTTAAAGTGTCCGGGACAGTTAGTTGACCTAACAGTTCTACCTAACATGGGAGTGTAAAGAAAGGAGAAGGGCTAGGAACTTACCGAGTGAAGAAACTTGGAAGAGGATTTGAAGTTTTGCTTTGCTTGGTCGGATTGATGATCTGCTGCTCGGGACTCTCTGAGGGTACCGATTGCTTCAGAAGATTGAGGAAAGTTCAAATGAAGGCCTCAGGAACCTATTTATAGGAGAGCGTTTGGACGGGAAAATCATCCACTTGCGTGACACGACCAGCGCTGATTCCGAGGCGACGGTTGCAGTCGCAGAGGCCGGCAGTGGCCGACACGTGGCGGAGAAGGGAATGACAGCTGGCCGGTCGGTTTAGCGGCCGGCGGTTGGGCTCCTTCATCCCGGCCCATTTTTTCCCGGACGATAAAAAAGGCCCGGGCTGGGGGGCTCTTGGTAGGGAATACCCCGACCGACATAGCTTCACCACGACCGAGAAGCCTTGGTCTTTTTCTCTTTGTCTTTGCAGGTAACAGGTCGGGCTCCTTGAGAAGGACCCGGTCGGGGGCCGACCGGGAGTTGCCCGAGCGACGGTGTCGACCGCCGAGCGGCAGCCCTTTGGCGAGAGAGCTGACGAAAGACACGTGGCGACTCTCTACGACGACAGACAGGGCACCCGGGAGGACGACACGTGGTGGCTACGTGGAGGACATGCCGAACGGCTGGAATCTTGTCCCCGGCATAGCGGCTATAAATACCCACAGTAGCTACAGTGTAAGGGACTTTTGGACGATCGATAGGTTGTTGTTAGAGAATCCCGACCGCAGTCAGTTGGTACTCAGAGCAACCAAGTAGATTGTACTTAGGGCCTTTGCCGTGATCAATAAAGATATTTACTTGCTTTAATTGGTCTCGTGTTGTTATATATTGCTTACGTAGAATTAGCAGTATCAATATAAGTTTTAAAAGTTTCAAAATTTCAGGGTGTTACAGTTACAGCTGACCATTATGCTGCAAAAAAGAATGCATTTTCAGTCTTCAGGGGAATCTTAAGAACGGGTGGGATTCCCAGTTTGTAGAAGTTTTGCCAAAGTTGTTACGTGTACGATTCCTGCGATGGCTCAGGTCGGCTCTTTTCTTCCGACGATGAGCAGATGAGATGGAGCTCCCTCCGGCGAGCTTGAACTTCTCCAGCGAACCAGCACACGACGGACCACCGTACCCAGCAGATCTGACGGGCTCAGTGGCAGATCTAGTGATAGATAGACTTGGCTCCATTTTCCCGGCGAAGCTTGGTCAGAGAGGAGGAAGAAGATGGCGTGAAAACACCAAATTGCCCATGGTAAATCGGAGCTCTCCCCGGCTTGTTGCTGGATTACGGCGGGAGGGATTAAATCGACTAAAAATAATTATTTTCGGGGACCAAATCGATGAATAAACGATTGAGGGATTACATGCATTAACATTTCGCTAATAACTGAAGGACCAAATCGTTGATTTTTCCAATAACTGAAAATTTTAGTGCGTTGCTATTCACAAAGAATTATAATACAAAAAGTAAACGATAATACGTAGGTATTGTAGCAGGTTAATTACCTAATAAGATGATACTACAAACCTAAACATAACTATAGCAGAAATTTTATTATGGGATAAAATTTTATTACTAGCTCTAATTAATTAATGATTTTTGAAGAATATTGGTAAATTTCAACTAAACCACAGTTAACCAATTCAAAAAACTAAAAGTGACATCCACTTTAATTACTAAAAACTTATGGACCAAAATACATAGACTATATCTACTGTTCTATTATTAACTTATAACTCATGGACCAATTAGCTTGGGATATGTTTAAGTGAAAATGACTCATTCATCCTTAACTAAATGTCAAGGGTCCGATCCTTGACTTTAGATAAAAAATTTCGAGTACATCCAAAAAAAAATAATTCAGAAACCAAAAGTACAATTCGCTCTAGCTTTATCCATATTATCCATAACATCAAGCTAGCTTGGGTGGGTTGGTGCAAGTCCTAATTCATATGATGGTATGACATGTGTCTTCGTGAATGCTACTTGAAGTGCTGCGACCTTCAAAAGAAGTCGCTTAAAAAAATATGCTCGTGAATGTTTTCTGAAGTGAAAGAAGCTTATTGATCGAAAAGTTGAGTATGGGTATAGTGTTCAATGAACATTCAAGTTGAATCCTTACCAGTGGAAAAATAAACTTTTGAGAAATAAACAAAACACTCAGACCAAGATCCACCCAAACCCTACCTCATTAAGGCACATCCCACGATTTACCTCTTCCCACAATACTCTAGCAGCGGAGAAGAGCTTAGGTTGCCATTTTCATCTATGGTTTTTCATGCCAGCAACCAACCACTACTTCCATAGTTCCATGGAAGTTTGTTCTTTTCAGAAAATCTCAGGAGTTTCCCTTTTCCTATTGCACACAACTACAGAGTGACAAAGACATAAAGAAGAAAGAGATGCAACTTTCTTGTAAGAATTGAATATTTATTCAGTCATTGAGACTAAACCAGGTAGAACTAACTATTTTCTTTTAAAGCTCACATCAAACACAATATAAAGGCCAGAGGATGTAAAGGCCAATCCAACAGTCATATGAACATTAAGAAAATAACATCAAAGGATTTTGGGCAATGGAAAGGTTAGTGTGGCTTGTTTCTATTACAGCTGAAATCAAATCAGCCAACTAGTCAAGCCATAATCTAAGATTCTAAGTCAAGTTTGACTCGTTTCTCTTAGCCAAGTACATTATCTGATTATCTGCATCTTTATTTTCCAAATTTTTATTTATTTATTTCCTTTTTGTTCTTTCTCACATGAAAATTGCACACCTGAGAAAGCAAGATACATCTGTACAACAAAATACATATATTCGAAGAAATTATGTATCAAACAGGGCATCTAGAGGTATGAAAGGAAATCAAGGACACTATTAACATACATATTTCTAAGCAAACAGAAATATGAATTTGACCACATATCCACCAGAAAACTTTAAGAACGGCAAAAGGACAAAAAGTATTATCGAATTCAATATAAATTTCTTTCTTCAATTTCAATGTAATGAGTTATTTAACAGTACACCCAATGCAAGGAAAATGATTATATATGCTACTAAAATATTTGTATTCATTTCGTCTAGTTTCCTAGTAGCACCCTTGCAGATCCACATTCAATTCAATGGACCACATCAACCCAGAAAAAGCACTAAGGAACAATCAACTGATCAAAATATATGCATTTTGGAAATGTACCCACAAGACTATGAGTAATATAGTGTTGGACTTACAGATCAGGGTTAGCATCAATTTTCCTGAAGAAATCAGCACTTGTAGGATTCAAAGAACACATCAATCTGTTTAACACAACATCTGTATCTACATTAAAATATTGGGTATATGAAGATATACTAAACACTCCTTTCCAATTGTTTGTTGATTGCTGCCCATCTCCTTCTGCATAAAATAGTATATTCTACATTAGCTAGAATTTCATACACATAGGTCTAAATTGGAAAATGGTACTCCGGTTACGGCATCTCAATTTTGTGCCATAAATGGAAATGGGGGATTGCAATTTGGTCAAAACTTTGGCAATGTAAATGTGACTGCTTAAATAAATGGCATGCTTGTACAAGTGTTATCACAGAATAAATTAAGTATAAGATAAAATTTTCTAGATTGACTTACGTGTTGGGTACTCGGATGTAAGATGCATAAAAATGATGAAATACTTCACATTATGGAATTCAAATCTAAGCTATCCCATTTGGTATAAGCCTAATTTATTCTTCAATCAATTTGCATGTTGGGTCTAAGACACATCACACACGAAACACTTAACCTTACAGTCAATCTTTTTCTTTAACCCAAACGCTATTTTGATGATTATTTATACATCACTTCTAAAACTTAAATACATAACTGAACTATTTTTACAGCCCAAAAGAATATTTGAAATAAAAATATTTATCACCTAAACCAGTTTGGTAATCAGAAAATAGCTCGTGATTTCCTGATATAACGTAGTGAAAAATGGTAAATGATTAGTACCACTTGGACCTGCAGGAGTTCCCTGACCAGCATTCCCACCATTATTTGGAGGAAATATCTGCAGATTTGCTTCAGGAGCTGTAGGAAGAGTATCCAAATAAGTAAATTTTTAGAAGGAATTACTAAGAGATGGAAATTCAGTTCAATCACACCTTCGCGATTAGTGTTGTTCTTTTCTTCTGTGACAACAGCCTGTAAAAGCCTTTAAATAATTCTTCAACTTGGTAACAGGAGCCATTAACCAAGCAGCTTTAAAAATTAATTTCGGGGCATTTATTAAATTGAAATTCACTTCAATTTGAGCTAAAACCCGTTATCTTCATCTTGGTAACAGGAACCATTAATCAAGCAGCATTAAAAATTAATCTCGGGGCATTTATTAAATTGAAATTCACTTCAATTTGAGATAAAACCCATTCCCCGACACAAAATTTTCCTTTTCAATTACAAACTGTAAGAAAATGCTACATCCATTTTTGCCAATTCAGCAAACAGACTCTCTTGATGTCTGCTGCAAAGAAAGACTGCATGAGAATTTTCAAGCAATGCACTATTAAGCTTGAGCTCTGTTTGGAACATACAACACTGCAAAATATTAAAGTGATTCTCAAGAAAATAATTTAATCATGTTTTAAAAAAAAATGAAGAAGAAGAAGAAGAAGAGTGAGCAAAACCTATATTGTAGAAATCAGTAAATCAAGTTTCTTTATAAAATGTAAGGAAATGAGATAATGTCTTATGAACCAAAAGATGTGCTCTTATCACTTATGCATGGACAATCGGTTCTAACATTGGGGCACTTTTTTCCATAAACTTCCACCCTATCCTAGGGTTCTTTGTTCTAATCTTCCTTGGATGCTCTACACTGCTCTCTCTCTCTCTCCCTCCCAGTGGTGATTGAGAAAAGACCAGACAACACAATATTTTCATCAGTTGAAAGTTGAGTGTCAAATTATGAAACTAACAGTGTTCCAGAGCATTCATAGCAGAAACATAGGAAGATTGGAAAACTGAGATTGTTTTGTGTTCGTCTTTGATATAGGGTGTGAGATTGGAAAATGGGTGAACCAATGTGATTTTGGAGTTTATATTCAATCAATATCGAGTGCTCTTTGGCCAGGTTATAAAACGTAATTATATTTATCCAACTGAGAAAATAGAAGAATTCCTGCAGGCATTGGTGAAGCACCCCAAGCATAACTAAAGTATTCACTTCTCTAGAATTTTCGAGGTACTATTTCACTAAATTTTACTCCACCGCTTGCAAAATTATACGATCAGAGCCAAATTTGTAAGCTAAAAAGTGCAGAGATACAAAATTTACAATCAGTTGCTTCCCTTCCCAAAAATCTAAAACAAAATACAAATTCCTCATATCCTAATCCCAGTAATCTGATAACTTGACCGTGAACAAACACTTGCACCTGAATATTTATTACTACAAACTGATACACCAAAACATCTCCAATGCTCCACAGAATCATTGCAGAAACAGAAATTCAATGAAAAAATAAATCTATCGACACCTAAATTGCAATGTAATTTCTGGAAAATCAATCAAATTAAATGGAAAACGGAGGCAAATAAAAGATGACGTCGTTTGTGTTTACAATTATGCGCGGGAGTGAAAGTGTGTACCGGAACTGAGCCGAGCAAGTGGCTGGTAGGGAGGTTGTTGATGTTGAAAGACTCGTCCATCAGAAACCACGCGGTGGAGATCTGCGGCGGAGAAAACGAACTGTTTTGGGCGGATCAGTGTGGAAACGAGCCCTAAACTCTTCTCGGTTGAAAGATAACAGACAGGGGAGGGGTTAGTTAAGTTCGGAGCAGCGTGCGCCACACGCGTCAACGATAACTTACCGCGAATTTGCATGTGTTTCGTGTTCCGGTTTGGATTAGCCCATTAATTCATAAGGCCCAAGCCCACTTTATTTGTTTATTTGGGAGAATTGCATTTTTTTATTCCTCAATTATACTCTAGTACGTACTTAGGGTGTGTTTGGTTCGCACATAGGAATCGAAATCGGAATGTGTATCAAATACTTGGTAATGGTAATGGATTTTGGTGAAAGTATTTAACATGTTTGGTAGTAGGGTGGAATGTGAATGATTACTAATAATAGTGCTTGAGAATGAATAAGGGAATGAACCCCTTATTGTATTTGGGTATGGGTTTTTCAATTGTATTTGGTACTAGTTTTTCAATTGATGGGGTATTTAAAATCCATAGTATTATTCTAAAAACCTATCAACCAAACAACAACAACCACTTTCATGCCCATTCCTATGGGCAAAACTCACCAACCAAACACATCCTTAGTCCATGAGTTATATACATGATCATCTTTAGCCCCATAAGTTATGCATAAAGCGGTGAGTTTAGTCTCTGAATGATCAAATCTGCCACTTTATTTAAGTAACATATTGGTAGCAGAAATAGTTCTCGAAAGGCTAAAATTGTCACTTCACACATAACTTAAGAGTTAAAGATGATCACGTTTATAACTTTAAGACTAAGTCTATACCACGAGTATAATTGAAAGATTAAAAAAAATATATTTTTCCTTATTTATTGGAGTAGTTTTTTGTTCACATTTTTTTTTTTTTGAAGTACATTTGGTAGGGTTAGGTTAGTTGCGACTTTTGATACAATTCGTACACAAACCTGTCACATGGATTACAGTTTTATACTCCATTCATCTTATTTAATTTATTTTTTTTTTTAAATAATTATCTCAGCTTTAAGGGCATATTGGTAAAAATCTTACATTTTCCTAAAACGCTGATCAATTGATAGTTGTTAACTGATTGGTTTATTGAATTTGATTAGCTAATAACATTAACAAATTGTAGAAAAATATTTGGTAAATTAACTATTAGTTGATAACTGATTATATGCAAAATGACTTTTTCAACAAGTTAGTTATCAGCTAACAACTATTTACCCAAGAAATTTTTATTTTTAGTACATATAGATACAAGAATTTATTCATTATGAAATGGGGAAAAACTCTTCATACTCCCTATACACACGTCCTACCTAGCGTGTCAAGGCGGGATAGAAGGGTCCATCAATAATTCCTCAATCCCGTCACACCAAATCAGACAAGACGGAGTATAGAGAGTACATGTAATATTACTCATTAAAGGCCGCCGAGCAAATGTATGCCGGCTTACTTCAAGAAAGGGCTCATATTTCACGTGCCATTGTCTCAAGACTGGAAGATAAAAGTACCGAATAACATTTCTTACACATAAGACTAAGACTGTATTAGAAGAGAGTGAAAATAATAGTTGTAGTAACTAGAAATATTTCTCTGTGCTGGAGATATATATACAGCATTCATCGGAGCAAATTGACGAAGCGCAAGGAAAAGAGACAGTTTCCTGCCAGTGTGGCCATCGCCATAGGCATAGGCATCATCGAGGATGATCTCCAATTGTACTATACCAACACGCAAACGAGTACGAAGCATTGTGCTTTCCCTAATTCCAAGCCGGATGATACCCACGAGCTTTTCTCTATTAAGGATAAAATATCTACAAGAGAGCAAAATCGTGTCAGGTACTCAGGTGTACGAATCAAGCGAATAGCATTTATTTTGCATATAGATTCCATTCAAATTTGACAAATCGCAGATATCAGAAGGAACACTGTGAGGTTTAACAGTACTCGGTGCTTAGGTTGAAGAACACTCTCTTTCCTTTTTGTTTTTTTTGGATGACGAGAGAAACCCCACAACCCTTTCAGGTGTAGGTACACCCCCCGCCTTGTTCCAAGATAGCTGGCAAAGGACCACAAGTAAACCAATCTAGGTTACCCATAGTTGAACGGCTCAAACCAAGGGAGCAAAGATTCAAATTCGTGATCTTGTGGTTACAAGTGTGGATCTCTTCCCGTCTTAGTTGGGGTCACCCCCGTCTCTTTCGTATTTTTTATGCTAGGAAAGAGAGTGAGAACAAAGCCGAGCAGAACATGGCATGTTTAGATTTGGCTCAGATTGGTTAAACTTAAACAAGCCTAAAACCCGGTTTGGGCTTAGTTTGTGCTTTGGATTGTTCAAAAACACAAGAAGCCAGGCCAATGCAATTAAGATAGATTGTAAGTTAAACACAGAGTAAGGTTGACTCCACCCAGAGCGCATCTTCGGGTAACGACTGCAAGCTTTCCCACAAATCAAAGTACAAGAGTCTAATTGCAGTCAAATGTCCCAATATATGAACAACCATTCTAGAGCAACATTAACTTAACAAACACTACAAATTGCAACCAAATTCCCAAATCATGAAGCACAATTCTACAGCAACATTCAACACAGTGCTATTTTTACGTAAATAACAGGCCAGCTTGAATTGGATCATTTTTTAAACAAGTCTTGGCTTGTTAACTTTTCCACACAAGGCACATACAAAGCTTAAAAAAGCCAAGATGGACTGCTTGTTTACAGCTCTTCATTATTAAAAAATTATATGACCGGGAACATAAGAAAATGGTAGTAAAGATGGCAAAGAGAGGAAATGAAAGAAAAAGATGGCAGAAAACTTAGGAAGATGCACACGATCTTTCTTTTAAAGAATTTTTCAGTGTGTTTCCTAAGCTTGAACCCAATAACCTAATGCAATTTACTCTCCCCTTTTGCCAATATTATTCTAGGAAAATGAACTATTCATGGATATAAATTTATTTTAAAGGTTTTAGGAGATATGAATCAAGCTTCCAATTCTCTTGCAACTTATGAATGTGCACATAATATGTTTCTAGACTTCACCGATGTCCCTTAGTCAACTAAAGACTCTCGATGGGAGTGTTTTCACTTCATTTCTCTTAAGCTTCTATTGTTCCAAGATAGCATCTCTCTTTTATTATATTTCCTTCTATTTAGTTTTATCACTGTCACATATTAGTCCGTAAGTCAATTTATGTAACATTACAATTTTATATAAAATCCAATAATTTTTTTTAAAGGAAGTCTGCATTCTGTAATGCAACATTATATTGCAGTCCTAAAATAAGGCATTATTTTCACAATCCTGAAATGCATCATAATGCAACATTTATTGAATTCGTCAAATGCATCACAAAATGAGTTTACAATTCAGGCTTTAAAAGTATGATCAATCTTTTATATATTGACAATAGAACAAATCAAAGGAATAGAACGTTCTTCATACTAATTAGTATCTTCTGCCTTAATAGGTCGTACCCATTAGTATATTATATTACAATTCACAACCCGTATTTTGACCCAAAAAAACAAAAAAAAAAAACAAACACTGCCTTAATAGGTCGTACCCATTAGTATAGTCACTATCGGCTGCCCTGCACGGAGGCGGATGTAGTACTGTAGGTCATAGTCGCAGGCAATCCTGATTAGCTGGCCACCATCCTCATAATAGAACTTCAAATAGCAAACAGCAAGGGGAGCCAACCTCAATACGACCGATTTCCTTAAATTCTCCATACTGACTACCTCAAGCGGAAATCTGATAATTTCCCCACCGTACTCTATTTGAATCATTCGCTCAGGCAAATTAAAGTCCGGATGGAGTGGCCCATTCGGCCCATGATCATGAAATCCGTTAGGCCCATTCGGCTGAGGAAATTGATTCCCATTTGGCGCATTCTGAGGAATATTCGGCGCGTTCTGATGACCAAACTCATTCGCATTCTGATGAGGAACATTCGCCGCGTTCTGATGACCAAACTCATTCGCATTCTGATGAGGAACATTCGCCGCGTTCTGATGACCACCAAATTCATTCGCATTCTGAGGAACATTCGGCGCGTTCGGATGACCAAATTCATTATCGGCGCGTTCTGATGACCAAACTCATTCGCATTCTGATGAGGAACTGTTAGATATATTAAATATAATATATTTAATATAATATATATTAAATATAATATAATATATCTATAATATATATTAAATATAATATGTATATATATTATATTTATATATATTGAGGAGAGAGAGAGAGGGGAATAGATAACTTGATTGATGATTTAAAAAGCTTGAATACACAAACTATTTATACTAAAATAACAAAGCTAAATCATGCTCCATGTATGCCATTATTCACGTACTACTCCATGTTGTAAACCCACGTACTAAGCAAACAAGGCTCCATGTACTGCATGCTGTAATATGCTACACGTACTCCATATTGCCACATTCTATTACTTGGTTTAATAATAATAATAATATTATTATTATAACATTGTCTCCTTTAAACCAAGTTGGATATATTGGTCATCTCAATTTCCTTCTTCAATTTGAGAAATGTCTCTGTCTTCAACGGCTTCGTAAAGATATCTGCAACTTGACACTCACTTGAACAATACTCAATGTTGATTTGTTTTTCAGCAACCAACTCTCTGATTTTGTGATACTTGATATCAATATGTTTGCTGCGACCATGAAAGACTGGATTTTTGGACAACGAAATTGCTGACTTGTTGTCACAAAAAATAGTTGTAGGTGCTCCATGCTCATGTTGTAAGAACTCCAAAATTCTCCTCAGCCAAACTGCTTGAGTAGCACAATTTGCTGCTGCAATATATTCTGCTTCTGCAGTTGAAAGTGCTACAATCTGCTGCTTCTTTGAAGACCAAGAAAATATAGCTGAACCAAGATAGAAGGCATATCCTGATGTGCTTCTTCTAGTCTCAACATCTCCAGCCCAATCACTGTCTGTGTATCCAACAAGTTCCACAGCTTCATTAGTAGAGTAAAAAAGTCCATCATTACTCGTACCTTTCACATATCTCAGAATTCGCTTTGCTGCAGCCCAATGTGATTCTTTTGGTTCCTCCATGAATCTGCTAAGTATCCCAACTCCAAAAGAAATATCTGGCCTTGTTGCCACCAGATACCTCAAACTCCCAATTAAGCTTTTATAAGATGTAACATTCACGTTCTTACCACACTCATCTTTGGACACCTTTAACTTTTCAGCTAACGGCGTTGAAACTGGTTTGGAGTTTTCCATTTTGAACTTTTTTAAAATATCAGCAGCATACTTCTTTTGTGAAATAAAGATTCCACCATCCATCTGAATAACCTCAAGGCCAAGAAAGTAAGACATAAGACCCATATCGGTCATTTCAAACCTCTTAATGAGTGCCTCCCTGAATTCTGAGATTAGCTTCAAGTTGTTTCCAGTAAAAACCAGATCATCAACATACAGACAGATTAGAACAATATCACCAGAATCCGTGCATTTGACATACAAAGTGTGCTCATGAGGACATCTCATAAAACCACTTTCAACAAAATATGAGTCAATGCAACCATACCACGCCCTAGGCGCTTGCTTTAAGCCATACAAGGCTTTTCTCAACCTGTACACTTTATTTTCCTCCCCTTTCTTCAGAAATCCCGCAGGTTGCTCAACATATATTTCTTCTTCAAGAAAACCATTCAGAAAAGCAGACTTGACATCCATTTGATGCAATTTCCAATCATTTTGAGCAGCAAGAGAAATAACCATTCGAACTGTATCAAGTCTACTTACAGGAGCAAAAACCTCAAAATAATCAATACCTGGTTTTTGCTTGTAACCCTTTGCTACTAATCGTGCCTTAAAACGGTCAATTTCTCCATTTGACTTGTACTTCGTTCTGTAAACCCACTTCACTCCAATTGGCTTCTTTCCAGGAGGTAAATCTGTTAACTCCCAGGTACCATTCTTTTCAATGGCACGGATCTCCTCATCCATCGCCTTAAGCCAATGAGTTTCTGTAGCAGCCTCCTCAAAAGTTAAAGGATCACAATCTGCAAAGAGAGCAAATTGAACAATCTCTTCATCAGACAGGTCATTATCATGACCCAAAACATAATCTTGCAAGCGAGCTGGTAAGTGGCGCTCGCGCTGAGATCGCCGAATTGACGATTCTGGCTGTGAAGGAGACTGGACATTATCTGGAATCGGTTGCTCTTCAACAATATTTTCAACAGCAGGAATAACAACTGAACTTTCATCTTTAGCTAACCAATCCCAGGCACCATATTCATCAAAAGTGACATCACGACTTATAACAACCTTCTTAGTTTCAGGATTGTATAGTTTATAAGCCTTTGAAGCGTCACTATAACCAATGAATATGCATTTCTCACCTTTATCATCCAACTTCTTTCTCAATGGATCTGGCACATGTGCATATGCCAAACATCCAAAAACCTTGTTAGATACCAAATGTTAGATATATTAAATATAATATATTTAATATAATATATATTAAATATAATGTAATATATCTATAATATATATTAAATATAATATGTATATATATTATATTTATATATATTGAGGAGAGAGAGAGAGAGGGGAATAGATAACTTGATTGATGATTTAAAAAGCTTGAATACACAGACTATTTATACTAAAATAACAAAGCTAAAATCATGCTCCATGTATGCCATTATTCACGTACTACTCCATGTTGAAAACCCACGTACTAAGCAAACAAGGCTCCATGTACTGCATGCTGCAATATGCTACACGTACTCCATATTGCCACATTCTATTGGTTTAATAATAATAATAATATTATTATTATAACAGGAACATTCGCCGCGTTCTGATGACCACCAAATTCATTCGCATTCTGAGGAACATTCGGCGCGTTCGGATGACCAAATTCATTCTGATGAGGAATATTCGGCGCGTTCTGATGACCAAACTCATTCGCATTCTGATGAGGAACATTCGCCGCGTTCTGATGACCACCAAATTCATTCGCATTCTGAGGAACATTCGCCGCGTTCGGATGACCAAATTCATTCTGATGAGGAATATTCGGCGCGTTCTGATGACCAAACTCATTCGCATTCTAATGAGGAACATTCGCCGCGTTCTGATGACCACCAAATTCATTCGCATTCTGAGGAACATTCGGCGCGTTCGGATGACCAAATTCATTCTGATGAGGAATATTCGGCGCGTTCTGATGACCAAACTCAATCGCATTCTGATGAGGAACATTCGCCGCGTTGTGATGACCACCAAATTCATTCGCATTCTGAGGAACATTCGGCGCGTTCGGATAACCAAATTCATTCTGATGAGGAATATTCGGCGCGTTCTGATGACCAAACTCATTCGCATTCTGATGAGGAACATTCGCCGCGTTCTGATGACCACCAAATTCATTCGCATTCTGCGGAACATTCGGCGCGTTCGGATGACCAAATTCATTCTGATGAGGAATATTCGGCGCGTTCTGATGACCAAACTCATTCGCATTCTGATGAGGAACATTCGCCGCGTTCTGATGACCACCAAATTCATTCGCATTCTGAGGAACATTCGGCGCGTTCGGATGACCAAATTCATTCTGATGAGGAATATTCGGCGCGTTCTGATGACCAAACTCATTCGCATTCTGATGAGGAACATTCGCCGCGTTCTGATGACCATTCTTCTTTTTTTTTTTTTTTTTCGTTCTGATGACCAAACTCATTCGCATTCTGATGAGGAACATTCGCCGCGTTCTGATGACCACCAAATTCATTCGCATTCTGAGGAACATTCGGCGCGTTCGGATGACCAAATTCATTCTGATGAGGAATATTCGGCGCGTTCTGATGACCAAACTCATTCGCATTCTGATGAGGAATATTCGCCGCGTTCTGATGACCACTAAATTCATTCGCATTCTGAGGAACATTCGCCGCGTTCGGATGACCAAATTCATTCTGATGAGGAATATTCGGCACGTTCTGATAACCAAACTCATTCGCATTCTGATGAGGAACATTTGCCGCGTTCTGATGACCACCAAATTCATTCGCATTCTGAGGAACATTCGCCGCGTTCGGATGACCAAATTCATTCTGATGAGGAATATTCGGCGCGTTCTGATGACCAAACTCATTCGCATTCTGATGAGGAACAATCGCCGCGTTCTGATGACCACCAAATTCATTCGCATTCTGAGGAACATTCGCCGCGTTCGGATGACCAAATTCATTCTGATGAGGAATATTCGGCGCGTTCTGATGACCTAACTCATTCGCATTCTGATGAGGAACATTCGCCGCGTTCTGATGACCACCAAATTCATTCGCATTCTGAGGAACATTCGCCGCGTTCGGATGACCAAATTCATTCTGATGAGGAATATTCGGCGCGTTCTGATGACCAAACTCATTCGCATTCTGATGAGGAACATTCGCCGCGTTCTGATGACCACCAAATTCATTCGCATTCTGAGGAACATTCGGCGCGTTCGGATGACCAAATTCATTCTGATGAGGAATATTCGGCGCGTTCTGATGACAAAACTCATTCGCATTCTGATGAGGAACATTCGCCGCGTTCTGATGACCACCAAATTCATTCGCATTCTGAGGAACATTCGGCGCGTTCGGATGACCAAATTCATTCTGATGAGGAATATTCGGCGCGTTCTGATGACCAAACTCATTCGCATTCTGATGAGGAACATTCGCCGCGTTCTGATGACCACCAAATTCATTCGCATTCTGATGAGGAAAATTCGCCGCGTTCGGATGACCAAATTCATTCTGATGAGGAATATTCGGCGCGTTCTGATGACTAAACTCATTCGCATTCTGATGAGGAACATTCGCCGCGTTCTGATGACCACCAAATTCATTAGCATTCTGAGGAACATTCGGCGCGTTCGGATGACCAAATTCATTCTGATGAGGAATATTCGGCGCGTTCTGATGACCAAACTCATTCGCATTCTGATGAGGAACATTCGCCGCGTTCTGATGACCACCAAATTCATTCGCATTCTGAGGAACATTCGCCGCGTTCGGATGACCAAATTCATTTTGATGAGGAATATTCGGCGCGTTCTGATGACCAAACTCATTTGCATTCTGATGAGGAACATTCGCCGCGTTCTGATGACCACCAAATTCATTCGCATTCTGAGGAACATTCGCCGCGTTCTGATGACTAAATTCATTCTGATGAGGAATATTCGGCGCGTTCTGATGACCAAACTCATTCGCATTCTGATGAGGAACATTCGCCGCGTTCTGATGACCACCAAATTCATTCGCATTCTGAGGAACATTCGGCGCGTTCGGATGACCAAATTCATTCTGATGAGGAATATTCGGCGCGTTCTGATGACCAAACTCATTCGCATTCTGATGAGGAACATTCGCCGCGTTCTGATGACCACCAAATTCATTCGCATTCTGAGGAACATTCGGCGCGTTCGGATGACCAAATTCATTCTGATGAGGAATATTCGGCGCGTTCTGATGACCAAACTCATTTGCATTCTGATGAGGAACATTCGCCGCGTTCTGATGACCACCAAATTCATTCGCATTCTGAGGAACATTCGGCGCGTTCGGATGACCAAATTCATTCTGATGAGGAATATTCGGCGCGTTCTGATGACAAAACTCATTCGCATTCTGATGAGGAACATTCGCCGCGTTCTGATGACCACCAAATTCATTCGCATTCTGAGGAACATTCGGCGCGTTCGGATGACCAAATTCATTCTGATGAGGAATATTCGGCGCGTTCTGATGACCAAACTCATTCGCATTCTGATGAGGAACATTCGCCGCGTTCTGATGACCACCAAATTCATTCGCATTCTGAGGAACATTCGCCGCGTTCGGATGACCAAATTCATTCTGATGAGGAATATTCGGCGCGTTCTGATGACCAAACTCATTCGCATTCTAATGAGGAACATTCGCCGCGTTCTGATGACCACCAAATTCATTCGCATTCTGAGGAACATTCGGCGCGTTCGGATGACCAAATTCATTCTGATGAGGAATATTCGGCGCGTTCTGATGACCAAACTCATTCGCATTCTAATGAGGAACATTCGCCGCGTTCTGATGACCACCAAATTCATTCGCATTCTGAGGAACATTCGGCGCGTTCGGATGACCAAATTCATTCTGATGAGGAATATTCGGCGCGTTCTGATGACCAAACTCAATCGCATTCTGATGAGGAACATTCGCCGCGTTGTGATGACCACCAAATTCATTCGCATTCTGAGGAACATTCGGCGCGTTCGGATGACCAAATTCATTCTGATGAGGAATATTCGGCGCGTTCTGATGACCAAACTCATTCGCATTCTGATGAGGAACATTCGCCGCGTTCTGATGACCACCAAATTCATTCGCATTCTGAGGAACATTCGCCGCGTTCGGATGACCAAATTCATTCTGATGAGGAATATTCGGCACGTTCTGATGACCAAACTCATTCGCATTCTGATGAGGAACATTTGCCGCGTTCTGATGACCACCAAATTCATTCGCATTCTGAGGAACATTCGCCGCGTTCGGATGACCAAATTCATTCTGATGAGGAATATTCGGTGCGTTCTGATGACCAAACTCATTCGCATTCTGATGAGGAACATTCGCCGCGTTCTGATGACCACCAAATTCATTCGCATTCTGAGGAACATTCGCCGCGTTCGGATGACCATATTCATTCTGATGAGGAATATTCGGCGCGTTCTGATGACCAAACTCATTCGCATTCTGATGAGGAACATTCGCCGCGTTCTGATGACCACCAAATTCATTCGCATTCTGAGGAACATTCGCCGCGTTCGGATGACCAAATTCATTCTGATGAGGAATATTCGGCGCGTTCTGATGACCAAACTCATTCGCATTCTGATGAGGAACATTCGCCGCGTTCTGATGACCACCAAATTCATTCGCATTCTGAGGAACATTCGCCGCGTTCAGATGACCAAATTCATTCTGATGAGGAATATTCGGCGCGTTCTGATGACCAAACTCATTCGCATTCTGATGAGGAACATTCGCCGCGTTCTGATGACCACCAAATTCATTCGCATTCTGAGGAACATTCGGCGCGTTCGGATGACCAAATTCATTCTGATGAGGAATATTCGGCGCGTTCTGATGACCAAACTCATTCGCATTTTGATGAGGAACATTCGCCGCGTTCTGATGACCAACTTCATTCGCATTCGGCGGAAAGGGTTGGGGCTGTGGCTGAAATGGGGGTTCAAACCCTGGTGGGAACATCAGTAAGGGGTCTTCCGGGTTGAGATCTCCCCAGACGTTCATTTTCAAGAATCCAGGGTTGGAAGGTTCTGACTGGTTTAATGGTGAGTATAAATACATGTGAGGGTGAATCTTGGGGAGTTGATTATTTCGTTATTTGCAACTGTTAATCGTAACTGATTCTTTGAGGCCAGCTGCGAGTAGGTGAATTTTTTTATATTGAAGTCTATGGCAAAAAGTATCAGTTCGATTTCATATAATAGGTTAAGTTTCAATATAACTTGTTCTTTTGCTGTGTTCATAATTAATACACAAAGGCAAAAATAAATAGAGAAGAAGTCTTGAGTAGGAAATCTGAACTCAAAACATAGCATATACGTAAAAATTCAATAGTATTTTGAACTATAGTACATAAAGTCAAGGTTTTCTTTGGAACCAAGCATACAACCAACAGAATAACATTGCAATCATCTAGAACATGAAGTAACTAATGCAGAAATCTTGCTAGTTCTAGTGCTTGCCTATTGTTTCATTGAAACTACAAAGTAATGAGCTTTGGAATAGGCAGGAATTAAGCACAATATGAGCTTGTCTCTTGTATACAATTGAGGACTCACAGGAGGAACAAAATTTCTTTGTGAAGCATTCATGTTTGTTATAATGAATTTTGTGCTGTCAAATGCTAGAAAGAAATATTTCCAAGTTAACACAAATAAGCTTAAGGGAATGAAGGCATAATCTACATTTGCTTTGCTCCTAAACTTAGTTCCTTAATCCCCTAAGAAATCTCCCACTCTCCCTTCAACTCCATTTACACTTGTTTTTTGTAATTCTCAAAGTACTTTAGCTTTGACATTCCTTCATCCATTATCCTTCAAGACCAGGTGCAAGGTCATAAACAGATTGATTCTCAATCTATAAAATACCGCGGTCGGCCTCCAGCCGAGGCCTTAGTCAGCCCATGCTGGGGTCGCCCTTGCCCCCTTATACCGCGCCTTCTCGGGTCCGTTTGCTCCGAGCTCGTTCCTAATATATCCATCATATATGTTTCTAAATATGTCACCACATGATCGCTATGGTTGAATAATGTTTAATATATACATGCACACTATATTTCTGTGGGAATCAATTTTTATTTATTTATTTTTATTTTTTTGCAATACATTAATTTATTTATGATTCATAAAAAATATATTATATATTATAAAAGTTTTTATATGAAAATTATAAATAATTTATTAATAGAAATTATGAAATGTTTGTTAAGGTTTATTTAATTTAGAGTTTTAATTACGTACTTTTGTAGGCTTTTTAATATGATTTTTTTTAAAATTTATAAATATTTGTCATATTGACTTTTATAGACTTGTATAGAATTTACGAAGTCAAATTTTTTTTATAGAGATTAGAGATACAAAATTTATTACTTTAAAAATCTTTGAAACTTTATAAAGTCTTAATTGAATATGCCCATGTAAGTTTATAAAGTTTTAATTGAATATGCCCAAAAAAAAAAAAAAAAAATCACAGCCCAAACTAAATTAAAAAAAAAAAAAATGCCCATGTAAGTTTGATTATTTACTTAACTTCAAAGATTTTTTTTTTTAATTACTACCGAATCTATTACATTGTAATATCTCTTCAAATATATACTTTCTTAACATATTGAAGTACAAAAACTCAAAGGGTCAATACCGTCCCTGAGGGGGACATGACCTCCCATTTGAAAGTGTCACTTCATCCACTTACCACAAAATGTTTTAGAAAGTCTAATAAGCCTATTGACCTCATCTAACTTATTCTTCTAAATCCGGACCATCATATAACATGCTATCAAATTATTACAGAGGCAATAATTTCACCATTTATTTTAATTTAGTCAGAGCAATAAACGTAAATATGTATGCAAGTGAAACGAAATTTTTTAATTAATATTGGGAGGGTTAATTATTGGGGCTTCCACTATCTTGGCCTTGAAAATGTCTGCGTCGTCCACACTAAGATTTAGGGATGCTTTCAGGATTGAAGGAGATAAAGCTTTCCAAACTGATCCATACCCAGCTAAGTTCCCTAATATTGGCCTGAAAAGAGAAGAGAGAGAGAGAGTTTTGTCAAAAAAGAAAAATAATTAAAATAACTAAAAGAAAATCTAGATAAAGAAGCACCCAGAAGTGTGTAATATTATATTTACTAATTAATATTAATATATGTTACTCACTCTGAAGATGTTAAGGTAGCCACAAGTTCGAGTCCTTCTTTATCAGCTATGAGTGAGGCAGAAAAGAATTTGGGTACGACAAAAAGTTGGCCAGCCTCAACTTTGTCGTCCAAAACCAGTTGACCGTTAAGGCCAACAATCTGAACCCGAGCACTGCCCTTCCAGACATAACATAGTTTATATGAGCCATCTTGCGTGTATCCCGGAGTTAACATTGAATCAGGTTCGAGTTTTACGAGGAAAACGCTTAGGCCAACGTCCTTGAGCAAAGGGAAATTCCCAGCCGTGGCTGAAACCAGAGATCCGCCGTTCTTGATGTTGGCTAAAGGCGAAGTATTTTCTAGATTGAACACCATATCTTTTCGGTTATTGTTTTGGAAATCTGAGTTGTTTATTTTGGCTTTAAGTTTGGTTATGATGGTAGCATTTTGGGTTTGGAATAGGGCTTTGGATTCACTTGCGGTTAAGCCAAAACCTTTGGCAAGAAATTGTGTGGAGAAACCGCCAAGTTGGAAGGTCGAGAAATAGAAGCTGAACTGGCCGGCGATAATGGAGTCGGTGGTGTCTCCCAAGAATACAAGTACCACCATGAGACGGCTCCTAACCCCACCGGAATCGCATCACCTTTCTCGATTTTGACTACCTTCTCAGTGGTACTGTTCGGAGATATAATTCCAACCACGCAACTACCTTCATTTTCAAGTGTCACATTGCACATCATCAGCACATGAATCCATGATTAGCATACAGCAGTCACACTATATATGTGTGGGGAGGGGGGAGGGGGGTGAAGGGAATTTTACTGTGGTCCATAATAGTTCATGTCGGAGTGTGGATCATGGTATATATGAGCTATGCAATCGTTATACGCGGCACCACGGCGCACATAGTACTGTGCACTTCGTGCCTCCCAAAACGAAGTCGTTTTGGTAAGTTATGTAGGGAGTGGACGTGATTATGTATATTTGTTTATACAAATATGTGTATTTTTTTTTATACATGTATGTGTATTTTTTTTTATACAATTATGTATATTTGTTTACACAATTATGTGTGTTCTATTATAAAATTATGTGAATGAAAATTTTTTTAAAGGAAAATGAACCGCGAACACTGGGTAGCGAAATTTTAAAAAAAAATAAAAAATTGAAACGACGTCATTTTGCATCAGGATGCACAATGCAATGCGCGCCCTGGTGCACGATATAAATTGTCATGAGCTATGTGCGTGGATCATGATATGAGGTTTGTTTTAGTTCTATTTTCACACACTAATTTTCATTATAGTAATGCTAAAAAATTATTTTAATTATCCTTCATGCATGTGTTATCTACTTTAATTTTAGGAAAAATGACACTTTTTGGCCCCGGTATTGTTTCACTTTTAAAAACTTAGTTTCATGTAAGTTAATTTAAACAAATTTAGTCCCTTAATTACTCATAATATTGATTGTAAAAATCCATTAACATATGGAGTTATTTTTGCTATTTAGAATTATATTAATAGTCACTGTTAAAAATAATACCCATAAATATTGATTCTAACTGACAAAATAACATCATTAAAAAAGTTTACTAACAGAATTTGATAATTATATACTCTGTAATAAAATCAAGGGGACTAAAAGTGCAACATAATGAACAATTAAGGAACTAAATCTGTTCAAATCAATTAACAGAGACCAAATTTTCAAAAGTGAAATAATTCAGGGGGCCAAAAATGTTATTTACACACAATAAGTTCATTATACCAACATTATTAAAATATTATTTTAATTCTTACCCTAAAAGGCTGAATCCCCCAATTCTAAGGACCCCCACACTCCGACCCAACAGAGCATGTGGGAGGATGTAAATCACGGTAACTCAATGGGTAGTATCATTTTAATTCTACTACTATAGGTTCATGTATGTTATAACAACACTAAAGTATCATTTTAATTATATTTCATTAACAATATACATATTTGTACGTGATGTATCATTATGGTTGACACAGCCATAATCCACCGTATAACTATTGGTGTGTCTGCACTTTTCTGCGTATAGTATTGGATGCATACCTTGAAGAACGTAGCCTATCTTTTTGGCGTCTGTGTAGTGAGGGAGGACAAAGCCATTAGGCTGCAGAACCAACTTGCCGGCACCAAGCTTTGCCTGGGGGAGAAAAGGAGCCCCAGAAGTGGACCAAGTGTAGTATCCACCACCCTCTCCTTCATAAATGGTTTGATCAGCCATTTGGGGTGCTAAGGAATACGCCCAATTTGTGGCTAAGCTGTCAAGCAAAGCCAAGGCATACACAAAGGAATACAAACTAGCCATTTGGAGAGGTATGTAACTGCTAAGAAGTAAACCCTTTGGTTATTAATTAAATAGACTCGGCTGTGCCACATGAAAGTTGCAGGTTGGCCCCCACAACCATTTTTTTAAAAAAATTTTCATATTAGTATTGTAGTTTTTTTTTTTTGGCCCCCTCAAAGCAAGCTTCTAGGTAACTTAGTGGATTGCTAATTTGCTATCTAGTTAGTCTTTTTAATTTGCAAATAAAATACACTGTAATTGTGTTTATTATAATAATAAATTGTCATTTTGCTACCAAAATCTTTAAATTTCTGCTACTTTAATCTTTGTCTTTTTTAATTTGCAAATGAAATACATTGTAATTGTGTTTATTATAATAATAAATTGTCATTTTGCTACCAAAATCTTTAAATTTCTACTACTTTAATCTTTGTCTATTTTTTTTCTAGTTTTAGTTAATTCAATTGATTTGTCAATTAAAAAAAAAAAAAATTAACACTGTGAACATCGGAAGTTTGAGTTGAAATGGAAAAGACACAAAGAG